GGGCACCTCAAGTTTTGTGGCTTCGTGGTCAAAGCCCCGGTTGGGATATATTAAATTTTGTAGCTTCGTGCTCAAGATCCCGGTTGGAATACCTCAAGTTTTGTGGCTTCGTGGCCAAGATACCGGCTGGGATTCCTCCAGTTTTGTGGTTTCGTGGTCAAGATCCCGATTGGGATACCTCCAAGATTTGAGGGCTTCGTGATGAATTTGCCGGTTGGGATACCTCAGTCTGATTTCGTTGTCAAAATGCCGGTCGGGATACCTCAAGTTTTGCAGCTCCGTGGTCAAGATCCCGGGTGGGATACACCAAATTTTGTGGCTTCGTGGTGAAGATACCGAATGGGATTCTTCAAGTTTTTTGGCTTCGTTATCAAGATCCCGAATGGAATGCCCCAAATTTGTGGCTTCGTGGTCAAGATCCCGGTTCGGATACCTCAAGTCTTGTGGCTTCGTAGTGAAGATCCCGGTTGGGGTACCTCAAGTTTTGCGGCTTCGTTCTCAAGATAGCGGTCGGGATACCTCAGGTTTCGTGGCTTCGTAGTCAAGATCCCGGGTGGGATATCTCAAGATTTGTGGCTTCGTGGCCAAGATGCAGGTTGGAATGCCTCAAATGGTGACGTATCGTGGTCAAGATCCCGGCTTGGATAACTCAATATTCGTGGCCTCGTGGTCAAGATCCCGGTTGGGATACCTCCAAGTGTTGAAGTTTCGTGGGCAATCCCTCGGTTGGAATACCTGAAGTTGTGTGGTCTTTTGCAGTCAAGACCCCGTTTGGTATACCACAAGCTTTATGATTTGTGGTCAAGATCCCGGTTGGGATTTCTCAAGTTTTGTGGCTTCGTGGTCGAGATCCCGGTTGGGATTTCTCAAGTTTTGTGACTTCGTGCTCAAGATCCCGGTTAGGATACCTCAGGATTTGAGGCTTCGTGGTCAAGGTCCCGCTTGGGATTTCTCCAAATTTTGAGGCTTCGTGAATAAGATCCTGGTTGGGATATCTCAATTTTGTTCGTCGTCAAGATCCCGGTTGGGATACCTCAAGTCTTCTGGCTTCGTGGTCAATATGCCGGTTGGGATACCTCCAAGTTTTGGGGTTTCGACGGTCGGGATGCCTCAGGTTTTATGAATTCATTTGTGGCTTCGTGGCTAAGATCCCTGCTGGGATACCTTACGTTTTGTGGCCTCGGCTTCAAGATCCTGGTTGCAATGCTTCAACACTTGAGGTTTCGTGGTCAAGATTCCGGTTGCGGTATCTCAAGTTTTGAGGTTCCGTGGACAAGAACCCGGTTGGGATACCTCAAGATGTGTGACTTCGTAATCTAGATCCCGGTTGGGATACCTCAAGCTCTGTGGCTTCGTAGCCAAGATCGCGGGCGGGATATCTCAAGATTTGAGGCTTCGTGGTCAAGATCCCGGTTCAGATACATCCAAGTTTTCTGGATTTGTATTCAAGATCCCGGAACCCGGTTGTGATATTTCACGTTTTCTGGCTTCGTGGTCAAGGTGCCAGTTGGGATGCCTCAAGTTTTGTGACTTCGTGATCAAGATTGGGGTGCCTCATGTTTTATAGCTTCGTGGTCAAGATCCCGGTTGGACCTCAAGATTTGTGGCTTCGTGGTCAAGATCTCGGTTGGGGTAGTTCAAGTTTTGAGGTTTCGTGCTCAAGATCCCGGCTGGGATTCTTCAAATTTTGATGCTTCGTGGCCAAGATCCCACAAGTTTTCTGGCCTCGGGCTCAAGACCCCGGCTTGGATAACTCAATGTTCGTGGCTGCGTGGTCAAGATCCCGGTTGGGGTACCTGAAGTTCTGTGGCTTTGTGCTCAAAACCCCGGTTGGGATACCTCAAGTTTTGTAGCTTAACGGCCAAGTTCTTGATTGAGATACTTCGATTTTGTCGCGTCGTGGACAAGATTCCGGTTGTGACACCGCAATTTCTGTGGCTTTGAGGACGAAATCGATACCTCAGCCCTATTTCGGGCCACGGGATTGTTAAGATTCCGAATATGCTAAATTTGAAGCCCTGATTCGCGTCAAGGAACTGTTGAGAGTCCGAATGTGCTAAACTTGAAGCCCTGATTCGGGCCAAGGGCTTGTTGATAGCCCAAACATGCCAAAATTGAAGCCCTGAACTTGAAGCCCTGTTTCGGGCCAAGTATTTCTTGAGAGCCCAAAGATACTGAATTAGATGCCCTATTTCGGGTCGAAGGTTTGATAAGAGTGCAAACACTTTAAATTTGAAGCCCTGATTCGGGCCAAGGGCTTATTGAGAGCCCAAACATGCTAAATTTGATGCCCTATTTCGGACCTGGGTTTCTTAAGAGCCCAGATATACGAACCTTGAAGCCCTGATTCGGGTCAAGGGTTTGTTGAGAGCCCAAATGGGCTAAATTTGAAGTCCTGATTCGGGCCAAGGGCTTGCTGAGAGCCCAAATATGCTAATTTTGAAGCCCTGAACTTGAAGCCTTGTTTTGGGCCAAGGGCCTGCTAAGAGCCCAAACAGGGTCAAACGATTTTTATTGAGAGTCGAAATATGCTAAACTTGAAGTCCTAATTCGGGTCAAGGGCTTGATGAGAGTCCAATCATGCTAAACTTGAAGCCCTGATCCGGGTCAGAGGTTTGCTGAGGACCCAAATATGATAGAATTTGAAGCCCTGTTTCGGGCCAAGGATTTATTGAGAGTCCAAATATATTAAACTTGAAGCCCTGATTCGGGCCAAAGGTTTCTTGAGAACCGAAACATACTAAAATTGAAGTCCTATTTTCGACCAATTATGCTGAACTTTAAGCCCTTTTTCGGGCCAAGGATTAGCTGAGAGCCAAAAAATTCAAAATTGAAGTCCTGATTCGGATCAAGGATTTGCTGAAAATCTAAAAATATGCCAAAATTGAAATGACGTCATATTTTAGACCAAGGATTTTTCCAAATATACTAGATTTGAAGGTCCGCTTCGAACCAAGGGTTTATTAAGAGCCCAAATATGCTAATTATGAATCCATTTTTCAAGCCAAGAAATTACTGAGAGCCCAAATATACTGAACTTGAAGTCCTATTTCGGGCCAAGGGTTTATAGAGTGCCCGAATGTGCTAAAATTGAAGATATGCTTCGGGCCAAGGGCCTGCTAAGAGCCCAAACATGCTAAATTTGAAGCCCTGGTTCGGGTCAGGACAATCCAAATAAGCTAAACTTGAAGGCCAATTTCGGGTCAACGATTTATTGAGAACCCAAATATGCTAAATTTGAAGTCTTGATTCGGGTGTAGGACTTGATGAGAGCCCAATCATGCTAAATTTGAAGCCCTGATTCGGTTCGGGCCAGAGGTTTGTTGAGGACCCAAATATATTTAATTTGAGGCC